ATTGAGACACCTTTTTGTTTCACCAAAAACTCACTTCACGTGCGATAGAAATTCTCAAATTATGTACCCTTATGCCATTGTGTTTACCATACTTAATCATCACATGGAAGAACTTCTTCTCACTAAAATTAAAGTGCCTCCTCAACACTTTTCTGTAATAAGATAAAAATCCAAAGCCCAAGGAATTGCCCCAGGATAGTTCTCTATCCACTTGATACTTTCTGTTTTGTCTACCAAACTTGTCATACAATGTCATCTAACATTCCTTTGTTCAAAATCCACACCAACTGTTACGATAACACAATTTCCGGACATCTCCTTTCCTTTTTATTCTCCGCTTTAAACTTTATACTTTAAGTGCCACGTGGCATTTCCCTTTCTCGCGCCGCGTTGCCTTTCTTTTACTTTTAGACTTAACTCTCTCACGCAGTGGAGCTGGCCATACGGGCTAGACCCTATGACATCATCAGCCACTGCCTTCATCAACTGTATAGTACACATGTACAAACAAACCTGTAGTAGTATATATACCCCAATAGATCCAGGAGACTCCTCAGCGAGTCCTCCTGTTGTATACCAACAAACTCTCTGCAGCTTAAGGGGTAACCACTCCCTCCACATCTTCCTTATAGTGTGTTCTTGTGTGCGCCAGAGTAACTAACTCTTGGTTGTTACATTAGGACTCGCTCTTTCTACTCTCTCGCATGTTTGTGCAAAAAGTCCCACTGGGCACCCGGACTCCAGGGTGAAGGAGATTGGTTAGCGGTTAGGAATATCCCACATAGCAGATAGGTGCGCTCCTAGCGACGGCCTTGTAGTGCTTCGGGAGAAGAACGCAAACCTTCGATACGCGGCCCCCAGCGTTAAGGGGAGTACCTTAGCTCAGCAGTCGGTGTGGAACCACTGTTGATTAGATTTAGAATACAAACTTTCACTTTCAAATACCTCTGACCAGGCCGGGCACTTGCCTCCGCCAGTCTGGAGAAGGGTTGACAGCTTAACAAGCGGACCACCCCCTGACAACCGTTCGGACCAGGGTTTATTACGTTTACATTTTATATACATTTTCAAATACTATAGTGTGGGTAGTCGGAGATTGAGATCCGATACTCAGCTGGGAAGAGGTTGATCCGCAGATAGCAAGCGGGGACCCCCAGTTACCTATTTTTACGTTACCCAAAGAGAACAAGTCGACATGTCGTCGCAACCCCAAGATATGAATGCGCTACTGCACGCAATGCGTGTGCAGATAGCTGAATTAACCTCGCAGCTCGCCGAGATACAGGCCAACCCCCCTGTAGCAACCCCCTCGGTGGAAAAGAAATTCAACAAGAAAGTCGAAGTCGTCGCTGACCCTGGCGCCTTCGAAGGAGACCGAGCGCGATTTGCCGAATGGTGGATCAAGCTCCAGATTTGGGTCAAGGCGAACTGGGACGCTTTCGCCGACGATTTTGAGGTAGCCACTGCGGTGCTATCTCGCCTAAAAGGACCTGTGGCGGGTCGATACGCCCAAGTAAGACTCCAGGAATGCTACACCGCGGGTGTGTGGCCCACCTGGGACGATCTCAAAACCTAGATCGAAAAATATTTCAAACCGCAAGCTGAGCGTGACTGGGCGCGCCAGCAAATCCGTTCCTTCAAACAAGGAAACATGAGGACGGATGATTTCGTAACCCGGTTCCTGGCCCTCTCAATCCAAGGGGGTCTTGGCAGTGAACACGCAGTGGAACTGCTAGAACGCAATGTGAACCCTCGCATTGCAGAACAGATCTATCTGCAGGATACACGAAGTGACAACTTGGCCCTGGCGGCTGAGGAAGTACGACGAGTCGGTAGAGCCATAGAGCTCTACACCATGCACCAAGGTGGCGGGTCCACCAAACAAAACAACATACCCCAGAGGCGCCCTGGGTCATCAAACCAACATCATAATCACTCTCACGGGTTCAAGCCGTTCGGGCTGCAGCCAGGACAGGGTGCTCCCATGGATATCGGCGCGGTCCAAGGCGGACAAATGCGCAGATTCAAGGGCAACTGTTACAACTGCGGCCAAGAGGGACACATGTCCCGAGACTGTAGAAACGGGGCGCAGGCTGCCCAACAAAAAAATAATCAAGGGCGCCAGGCGCGCCAACTAGAAATCGAAAAGCCGGACGATCGGCTCAACTCTTTGGCCGGTCGTTCTTACGACGAAATCCGGGCCTTCTTCTATGACCAACAGGTCAACAAAATGAAGGCTCAGGGAAAAGAATTAGGGGCTTAGGTCACTTGGGTGCCTTAGCTCCTGGTAAAAATGAAGTAAACCACAACAAAGTGGCCCCTGCTCCGGGGTGTTGCACGAGCAATAACGGAATGACGGGGATGGCTCCCCAATTTGTAAATAAATTTTTAAATTTGTTATCAGAAGTATGTACTTGTATGAAGAAATGTAACTGTAATATTTATGATACTACCGCTGCACCAGCGTCTCCCTTGGAGCGTGGCCCCGGCGAGACAAACACTAGGGTGCTTGATTCTGGTAAAACAAAAATAGAAAAACATGTGTCATTCAAAATTTCTTCTTCTTCTTCTTCTTCTTCTTCTTCTTCTTCTTCTTCTTCGGAGCCACCCTTTCCCGAAATCCCAAGGCGTGTGTTGATGCGCACATATTTATTCCAAAAAGAGATCCGTTTAGACGTTGGCGTGGAAAACCTTGCCAGGGGCAAAGTACACTCAACGAGCGCACTGCTTGATTCAGGCGCTAACGGGATCTTCATAGATCAGGTCTGGGCGGAGCAAATTGGACTCCCCCTTGTAAAATTAGAAACGTCTATTCCCGTCTATAACGTTGACGGTACGCTTAACGCAGGTGGCTGTATTACACACAAATGTTCTTTTGTGGTCGAATACCAAGGACACAGAGAACGAGTCACTGCCGAGGCTACCCAACTAGGGAAGATTAATTTAATCTTAGGCTGGACCTGGCTATTTAAACACAATCCTGAGATCAACTGGCAGACAGGGGTTGTCACATTGTCACGTTGTCCCCAGGAATGTGTAAACTTGGGTAAACCAAATCATGTCCGTCACAATGAGCGTCTCGAAACGTTAAACGCTAGTCACGTTTACGAGCTCAGATCTTTAGAAAAGATCGACGATGACGATGATGAGGTAAAACCTGAGGAAGAGATTAAGAGGCTGGTACCTCCCGAGTACCACGACTTCTGGAAAGTCTTTTCGAAACACAAATCAGAGCGCTTCCCAGAGGCTAAGCCTTGGGACCATGCTATAGATTTGAAAGACACCTTCAAACCAAGGAAGGGACACATGATACCGCTCTCTGCTCCCGAAAGAGACGAGGTATCTAGTTTCATAGACGAACAACTTAGGAAGGGTTACATCAGACCTTCCAAAAGTCCTATGACGTCCCCGGTGTTCTTCATTCCTAAAAAGGATGGTAAAAAGCGAATGATTATGGACTATCGTTACGTGAATGAGCACACGGTTAAAAATGCGTATCCGCTGCCTTTGATTAGTCAACTGGTGGACAAATTGGCTGGCGCCAAAATCCTGACAAAGATGGATCTCAGATGGGGGTACAACAATGTACGAATCAAAGAGGAAGATGCTTGGAAGGCCGCATTCACGTGCCACCGAGGATCTTTCGAACCCCTTGTTATGTTCTTTGGGTTGACCAATTCACCGGCGACCTTCCAGAGCATGATGAACGAGATCTTTGCGGATATGGAAAACTGTGTCGTCATTTACATTGACGATTTATTAATATTTACAAAGTCGGACGATGAGGCTGAGCATGACAGGATCGTGCAAGAAGTCCTTCGACGCTTACAGGAACGGGACCTATTCGTTAAACCCGAAAAATGTAATTTTAAAGTGAAGGAAGTAGACTTCCTCGGTATGATCATAGGCCAGAATGGAATCAGGATGAACCCTGAGAAAGTTCAAGCTATTTTGGAATGGCCAGAACCTACTCGCGTCAAAGGAGTTAGGGCTTTCCTAGGCTTAGGTAATTTCTACCGAAGGTTTATTGAAAACTTTGCAAAAATCACGAGACCGTTGAACGATCTCACCAAAAAGGACCTTGTTTGGCAGTGGGGCGCCAAAGAACAGGAAGCTTTTGATAAGCTTAAACAGGCATTTACAACAGCGCCCATATTGGCATTCCCTGAATTAGACAAAGAGTTCCGGCTAGAAACCGACTCTTCTGACTTCGCCACTGGGGCTGTTCTATCAATCAAAAGCCCTGATGATCTTTGGAGGCCTTGTGCCTATTTATCACATAGTTTGTCGCCTACAGAGCGCAACTATCAAATATACAACAAAGAGATGCTGGCCATCATTAGAGCTTTAGAGCACTGGCGGCACTACTTAGAAGGTGCTAGGCACCAATTCGAAATTTGGACCGATCATAAGAACCTAGAGTACTTCATGACGGCCCGAGACCTGAACCGGAGACAAGCCCGCTACGCGGTGTACTTGTCAAGGTTCAATTATAAATTAATTCATAAGCCAGGAAGCTCAATGGGGAAAGCGGATGCTTTATCTAGAAGAGAGGATCATGCCAACGGCATTGAAGATGACAACAAAGGTGTCACCCTGATAGATCAATCAAGGGTTGCCAATGTTAGAATCGGGCAAGATTCCGCTCTCCTGGAAGTCTTCAGGAAAGACATCTCCCCAGAG